GACCCTGGTGGGCGAGCATGGGATCGCGGCGGGGTGGGGGGGGGGGGGGGGGGGGGGGGGGGGGGGAAATGATAGAACCTCTACCCGGTGTTTTTGATATTGCTGCAGTATTTCAAAAGGATTTTGCCTTCAGTGGAAAGCCTTTGATCTCTCAAAAAGATGAGGTATATTTTATGGGTGGTGGTGCTGCTAGAGGCCCGTGACGTCACTAACAATGGATAACCGAGTTCAATAATTGTTTCATCATTCAGTCACCGAGTTTGTTTTTTTGATATTAAATATCTTCGGGAAGGTGCCATTTTCACGCAAGAGCGATCCCAAGAAGGAGAAGGCCTGCTTTCATTTACGCATTAGCAGAAAATTATTTGCAGCCAAATGCCAAATACTTCACACAGTTGGACGACATTGCGCATGAGCAGACCATTATTTGTAGGCACTTATTTGCAGGTCAAATGGGCTCTCGAACAATGAAAGGGAAGAAAAATTTGCATGGAATGATAACCAACAATAATTGGACGAGGTTGAGCAAAATATCGTGTTCGCGAGCAGATAAATCCGATTTGCCGAAGCCGAAGGTAACCTGCTGGACACTGACAAATCACGATACTTTGCGGTAACCGTACCGAGTTCAATAATTGTTTTATCACTTGGTCATGGAATTTAGGTTGTAGAATATCTGCCATTTTGACATTTTCACGCAAGAGAGATCGCAAGAAGGAGAAAACCATGAGCAGACCATTATTTGTAGGCAGTTATTTGCAGGTCAGGTGATGAGCTCTCGGCCAATAAAAAAGAAGAACAATTTGCATCGAAATATAAAAGGACGGAAATGAATTGCCATCGTGCCATGCAAGGTTAATTATTTCAATCAATCCCAGAACGTTTAAAGCACTAAACTGCATATATTTTTATCGTTTCAAAAAATATACAATTTACGACATTAGGAATGAGATACCTGATCGTGATGGCTTGGCGATGAGCTCTTTATAAGTAATAATGCCGCACCCTTCCAAAAGGTAGTGTCAAGTAATCTGTGACTGGAAGTAGGAAGCAAAAAATCGGATTAACCTTGTTGCGGTTAATTACGTCACACTCATCTCTTTTTATATGTCTACAAGTATCAGTTTCACAGTTAAACCCCGTGAATACTAACAGTAAGAGAATGATAGAAAGTTTCTGTATTATAACGGGATAGCATTTACTTATTAAGCAGGCAAAGTTATTTGAAACAAAAGTACATTTGTTATTTGAACAATATATCTAGAAAAAAAAAAAATAAAACGGGACATTAGATTATCCTAAAATTAAACAGCTCTAATTATAACATATTCAAATTAAGCCGTTCTGCGGCTCGGTCTCTGATCTGTCCTTGGAAACACTCTGAAGTTCCTCTCTTACGCATGATCAATGAAAACAGTTTAAGTACTTTCTCCGTTAAAACGACAAGTTACCATGGCCTAACCGTGGTTGCCAACGAAGTTGTACAAGCAATGCAACCTTCAGTAATAAACAGGAATTAGCTCCAATTGGTAAGTAAAACGCTGATTGTAAACTGTTGAAAATGCTTAAGACGGTTGTCTGACTAAGTTATCACTGATATACTGTAGTAAATAATTTAATTTGCTTTTTCAAAAGTAGTATAGTTTGGCTAAGTAGACCAATTAAGTTAGCATTGCTTTCAATTAGCGAATCCATAAGTTTAATGAGTAGGCTAAGGATATAGAAGAACTTCCTGTAAAAGCATCACAGCCAAAGTCATATTCAGTTCCCCTGCCCCCCTTTTCAACAAAAGAAGCTTTGGTATTTTCAGTTATTCCGATCCCGTTATCAGCATATGCACATCTATTTCCTCCCCCACCAATCATCATCACTGACCCATCAGTGCTATAGTGACACCAGAAACCAATCTTGTCGCTACTTTGGATATGGCAACTGCGTTCAGCATATTGAAACCCGTCTGTTGTTTTGTACTGACCGCCATATTGAATCCTGCAGCTTCCCAGGCACCTGTTATTGGACCAAACCCTGCCATTTCTGAAGTTGCCATAACTTGTGATTTTTGATCGAAATGTCTGCCCACGCAAACAGTTCCCTGTGGTTTCTAGAAGAGGAGTGTGATAGGGGTCATCACTACGCGTGATCTTGAACTCTTTGCCTTTAGCCAACCAAAACCCGGGTGAGATCATGTCAGCGTTAACTGAAGGATCAATTGTGGCTCCAAATGCAGTCAGACGGTCATACCACCAGTCGCCTTTGTCATTCATCCAGTTTCTGCTGTCTTTGTTGGAGAATCGAGCAATCAACATCCATCCTGAGTGACAGAAGCGCTATATTACCGACAGAAAGGAAGAAAATGATAACATAAAGTATCATCAATATATGCCGGCACAACGTTCGCCAGAAACTAAACTGAGAAGTCCACGAGACCATATTTGTTTACTGTATACAAAGCACTGTATAAACAAACGAATAACTGCATCATACAGTGACCTCTCTCTTGACGGGCAATGCTTTTAAGACACCTCGCTGGACACCTAGAGTTGGTCCCTGCCTCCCTGCCTTTCTTTACTTTTTTAACTCGACTCTCAATATACGACAATATACGACTCCTGGTCTCAAAGGTATCCGTCGGCCCTAGAGAGAGTTGACTGTATAAACAAAGTAAATAAGGTTTCTGTCATACTCTGTATCCCTCCATCAAGTTCAATATTATAACAACTACTTCAGCTCATTGAGATCCCCGAGGATTTCCATGAGGATCGACTTCAGTATCACAATCGTTGGGTATGTACCTGGAAAAATTGGCCTGGTTCTGTACACCCTGCAGATTGGATTAAGAACACAATAATGTCAAAAACATTTATATTCATTTTGCAGACTTGTTCTTTACTGGATTATATTTAGTTTTAGTATTTACCAAATCAGTGAATAGCAATTTTCGCGCTTTGATTGGCTCCCGTGACTCGGAATATCCTTGGCTATTTATATTCACTGTTTGGCGACCGAAGACAGGATGGCGTCTCGTTTCAGCACATTTTCGAAAGACGAAATTTAAGCGACCAATAAGAAGTCGAACAAACAAATACCCCCCAAAAAACTGTGGCTTGCCGGTGTTTACTAGTCAAATAGAAAATTATTTTCTTGGTGAATTTGCAACAAAGACTTAAAAATGTACTTGACAAAGTCTCCGAAATGTTTGTAAATGGTAAACAAAGTTCCAACTAAGTGACGTTTTTAATTTACAAAAAGTGACTTTTTGGGGGCTATTGAAATCATTTTGAAGATTGGACGTAGTACCGCGAGCGCGCTCCAGCCAACTACACATTCAAATTCATTCACGGCAGGTTATTTTGTGGGCATGGGATTGTTTGGGCTGAATATTTGGTCCGATTTTTTTTCGTTTCTATTTCACCCTCTTTTTTTGGCTATCGTTGAAAACTCTAAGGATTTTTATGGGTTTTGGTTTTTGCCTGCTTTCGATTGTTCGCTTCACTTTAACGCCGGAGTAACGTACTATACTACGAAGAAAGTTTCTTTCTTCCCTGTTACTTTAAAAAAGGGTAATCTGAGATAACCTGTAAAAAATACTTCAGTAGTTGCCTCTGCGAATCCAAACTGGTTGGTTGCACGGCAAGTGTATTTTCCAGCACTTTCTTGAGTCACGTTGCTTAAGGAGAGGCATCCATTTTGCTGAGAAGATGGTATCGATGTCAGAGCAGTTTGTGATCTTGACCAAACCAGTGAGCCAGCTGCTTCACAACAAAGAGTCACAGTAGTTCCTTTGTCAGCATACACGTGAGGAGGAGGCCTTCTTGTTAATACTGGAGGCGCTGAAACAAAATTAAAGTTGCCGAGAGTTTATATAATCACTGAGATGTACGGAGGAAGAATTGGAGGAAAAGGCGGCCAAATTTGAATAATTATCTTTGATCAGCTATGGTCATAGTGTTTCTTTCATCAGCTGCCAATAAATTAAATTACATGAACGCAATCACAAATCACAAAACTAGGAAAGATATCTTCAATAAAAACGATTTTGATCATAATTTTGTGAAAATTGGAACCGAGACAAAAAGAGTAAGCAAAAAGAAATCACCGGACATACTTCAATATCAGTTTAAAAAGAAAGAAGGTAAGAATTGATTAAAATATTTCACCTTTGATTCCTAAAATAGTGACTGCTCGAAATATACCATAACTAATGAAGACTGTACACAAGTATGATCCAGTATGTGACCTCTGGGCATTACTGATATGAAGAACACCATTCTCTGTATTAATTCCACGATGCAAGTTACCTCCAAGCTTACGCCATGTTATTTTCTTAGACACGTGTCCTTGCACCCAGCAATAAAATGTTGCAGACTTATTCGCAAACACATACTGAGATTCGGGAAAAAAAAACTATCTTGGGAGGGACAACACATTCTCCTTTTGGTCCTTGAATACCAGTAGAGCCCCTGTTTCCTTTGCTCCCTTTTAATCCAGTGGATCCTTTGAAACCTGTAGGGCCCATAGGTCCAGTGTCTCCTTTTTCCCCAGGAGAACCAACAGCCCCTACTTCACCTTTTTCGCCCTTGACTCTCTGCAGTCCCGTAGGCCCTAGTTTCCCCCTGACGCCTTGAGCTCCTGTTAGTCCTTTAGGACCAAGAGGGCCAGTTTTCCCAGGTGCTCCTTTTTCTCCCTTGTATCCAGGGTACCCAGGAGCACCCGGTACTCCCTGGGGTCCCTGTTGACCTGTCTGACAGATCTTATCAGTGGTGGCGCACGCTTGAGTAATTTTCCTGTTGATTTCCTGGCGGAGTTGCTGTAAAGATATAACACCAGGCGTAGGGGCAACATTTCTCCTTTTTCGTCGATCCTGATCTACAGCACGTTCTACGGTTTCTTGAGAAATGGCTGAAAATGCAAAATAGCAACTGGTTAATTGAAAGCGACAGAAAATTACTCTATTCCTATTATGGCTGTTGCTTTACTATTGGCGCATCTTTGTTTGTTTGCTTTTGCGTGTGAATGTGTTTTCTTTTTCACCTTAGATTCTCTTTCGGCACACCGTATATCAATTAAGTTTTGCGTTTAATTTTCGCATAAGTTCTTCTTTCTCCGCGCATGCGTGGTTAAATTAATACATCTTTGGAAATTTCCTATTGTCGTCTATTTTGTACTTTTCGTTGTTGGCTGATATTTTTTAGGTTTGTAAGTTATTTTATCATTCTTAATTTATTATTGTTTATTACCCCTCTATACTCTACATATCATGATCATGGCACTTGGTTCGTTCGACTACAGTTATGTTATTTAGAATGAAGTCTGCTATTGTATTTGGAGACGCTCGGCAAGTCTGTGATTTGTTTTAGCTTAAGTGAGTCGCAATGTAGCGGCCAAAGGTTGGGGCGCGGAAGAACGTCAAGTTCATTGTACCTGGTTGTAACGTGACTTTACTCAGTCATCTCAGAGAAATAAACAAGGTCCGTATGGTAAAGAGGCGAACTGAGACTCAGACCGCAGACAGAAACAAACTCGTCTACGAAGTGAGACGCAATACAAACATTCGTTTACCTCGAGTATTGCCCTTTAATTTTGCAACTAATTAAGTATTCGTGGTTTCGAAACTCAACGCCGAAACATCAACCAGACCAAGGGGTTTTTTTTCAGTTCTGTTGCTATATAATTAGGGCACTGCAAGCATCAACTTGGTTTATAGCCAAAACGCGGATCCAAGCACGCTTTGAAAGGTCCATGCGCGATCCACGCGCGACGTGCATGTGATAGTAAACCTCGCTTTGCATGGCCGTTGGCCACAAAGAACACAAGCAATGCGTTTACACATCATACAATATTCTTAGTAAAAACCTTTAAGAGACCTATCGAGTTCCTCATTAGAAACTTAAGGAGACACAATCCCTTCACAATAGTCAGCACTTTCTCTTGCATTTCGTCTTCGATTCGCTGAATGCGTTTTTCAAGTTTTGCTTCCGTCACCTCTGCCCTCCTATGAACAACCTCAATCCTCACAAACATCAGTGCAAAGAGAACCAGCGAAAGGACAGAAATCACCAATGAGTCTTTTTTGGGAAATCTGTTCATGCTACTTTTGGCCGATTTTAATGATTTGATCTCTCCATCCATTGTTTCTTTTAAATGAAATGATCGCTCACTGCGTTTGGAGCTCATGCAAAGGGCAACCAAGGTCTGACACTGAAATCTATCGTGTGCGCAAAGATATCGGTTCCTAGGGGCTATTTATAACATAGCGCGCGTGCTTGCCCTATATAAGTCCTATTGAGCCACTATGAACAAAATCTTTATTTACGCACGCCCGTGCGTAAATAAGATGACGTAAGCATTTTGTTTTACCTGGCTGCAGAGTTGTCGTCTGTTAAGCTGCAGTGCAGTTTTCCTTCTCTTTAAAATATGGAAGAAACCAGCGAAGAACTGCCCGATTTTTCTATCGGCATTGACCTTTTAGGTCCTGATCCAACAAGCAGCAAAAATTGAGCCGAATTAAAAAAACTCGCATGTTGCGCGTTTCGCAAATTTGTTGGAAGACCAGCTGCAGCAAATTTTGGCCGAAAGACATTCACTGGGAACAGAACAGACACCAACTGGTCATCAACAACATTAAGAGGTTAAATTTCCGTTTTTATTGTTGTTTTTAAATTTGTTATACACTTTTGTTATCTGCGGACAATCCGACTGAAGCAGGAAGATTTCTCTGGCAATAACAACACAAATTACACAAGAAGACATAAATTTATTACTCACAAAAACAACTGCTGCCAGGTCTTCTCAAGAAGCCGTAATGACCAGCCAATGTTTGTAAATGAATATGAGTTTAAAGAAGGATGACAGTCGTCTTCGCTAAAAACATGTTTTCTGGATTTCGCCGAGCAAAACGTAAACATCTTTTCAGCAAATCCAAACCATAGTCCACGACTTCTTACGAACATGTTAGTATTTTAACTTTAGGTGAACTTTAAGACTCTTTTACCCTTGTTTCTGCTTAGTTTCCATTGATCGTTAACGAATAAAGAAGCAAATTTTCTTTCTCAGTTTTACAGAAAAGCTACAGAAAGAATATTTTCATTTAAACTAGATGATTGTGGAGTGTTCGTAATCAGCCAATAGAAGCGTTTGTTATTGTGTAGCGCGTTACGAGAATTTTGTAGTTAATCAAAAAGCAAGCATTTTTGTCAGCTATGTTATAAAAGAATTTGCTCATGCTTTTAGCTGTGCGTATATCGAGTTATGGATGCACTTGGGAAGTTTGGAGAGCACTCAAGAAGCTAGAGTTGCACTCGGCTATCGCCTCGTGCAACTCTTACGCATCTTTCGTGCTCTCCAAACTTCCCGCGTGCATCCATAACTCGATATACGCACGCTAAGCATGAACAAATTCTTAATTAACTCATACTACAAGGATATCGGTTACTACTAGATATATTATAAGCACCTAGAGATAAAACCAGCAAGCCAAACGTCCTGAAAACTGGCTTGTCTGAAATCAAATAAAACTTTGTGTGTCCTAGACGGAGCTTGAGCTTTTATCATTACTGTTTTTATTCTTAAACGTTATTATAATTATTTTCATTATCATCGTCATTATCGTTATCATTATCATAATCAACATTATCATTATTAAAACTGGAAAAGAACTGGCGGAGTTCATGAGAGTACTTTGTAAAATGTGCCCAAGTTTGAGCAACACAATAGATACATATCAGCAGTATAGCGAGGCGCTATTTACCTATTAAAGGCAGTTAAAATTTAAAAAGCCAAATCAAAAGAGTTAAAATCCTTTATTGATTGTTTGACGGCAGACCTCCTTTTTTTTCTTTAGATTGTTCCGCTAATTTGTTCCTATCCTTGGACATCCCAGCTTGTCAAAAAGTTACAACACAAACCAACAAAGAACAATAAAACACGCACACATAACACCACTGGCACGCAGCCTGTGAAGAGGTCAAGAGGGGCCACCGGGAGAGTATTGCAGACCCTTAAATTGCGGATTTGGGAGAATAATCTAATCTCTGGATGGGTTGGTCGATTGAATAAGCCCCGCGTAAACGGATGCAACATTGTTGGATGTAACATGTTGCGTCCGTTTGTACACCCTGTTGCATGTTGTTGCTCCGTCTCGGTCTATAAAAAAGAAAAAAATAACTTGGCCAATATCCAGCCATCTTGACCTCACGCTTGGTCAAAAACGCATAGTAAATGTTATTATTTTTTAAAATCAATAAAAAAGGACTAGGTCAGTTTAAAAGTTTTGATAACATTTCTAGAATTACTCTTGATGATCGGATAAAGTTCTGTTATCCTCACTGATCAGTTGCTTTAATATGATGCCGCTCAGATAGTGGAAACGGAACAAAGAAAAGTGAAAAGGAAAAAAATTGACGGGGGTGGGGGTGGGGAGAGGGGGATGAAAGAAGTTCTCTCTCTCCCTCTTCCCCTGCCTTTTCCCTTTGCACACCTGTCATTCAAGATAAGGTTCTAAAATTCTATGGACGGCAAAATTGATCAATCTACAACATACCATAAAATTTCAAAAATAAGCCCCTCCGAATATAAGCTCCCCCCCCAAACTCGTAACGCAAAAAATCGTCCGTTAAATCGCCCCCCCAAATATAAGCCCCCCAGGGGGCTTGTACTTGGAAATTGCCCTCAAATACAAAGTAAAACAAAGAAAAACGGTAAATTTTCTACCAAGAATAAGGCTAGCTTAATCGATTTTTAAATGCAACTTTTTCTCCGTACACAAGCCCCTCCGAATATAAGCCCCTCAAAAATAGAAGCCCTGGGGCTTATTTTCGGAATTTTACGGTAATTGCACCCAAAACTACAAATCATAATTCAATATCTTCTTTTTATTGACTCTTTACTACAGTTGTACAAGTGTTCTAAGGTATTATTTAATAACTGTCAGACACTCTAGCCAGTGCAGCATGTATAATTTAGCGAAATGACATTTAACGCACACTAATTACATAAAAAAATAATAATAATAATAAAATAACAAAATAATAATAATTTATAATAATTGAATTGAAATCCTACTGTTCAAATCAAAGATGAAACGTCTGCAAAGTGTACTATCACCACAAGAAATTTACCACTACTTCTCCTTTGGTACAGCTATGCAGTTCAGTTGTTTCTAGAAGGTTAATAAAGCTCTACCATAAAACTTGCTGATTTGTTTCCAATGGTAAGAAAATAGATTAGCAATGGACTGAGAAGAAGGTGGTATACACTGAAACCAATCAAAAGCTGTCAGCTTAGCCTGCGAGCAAGATCTCAATTTAGGGCAAGCAGAAATGAAAATAAATTATTTATCAAAGATCGTTGCAAACCCTCACTTTCTTTCCCTGCCTGGCACTTTTCTGCTTTTGCATGATTTCTCGCGACTGTCACCCAGGTGGAGAGCTTGCTCACAGGCTCCTGTCAGCAGCTGATGATGGGCAACTGTATTGATTAATATTTCTGGATTTGTGGTCAAAGACAGTTTGAACATGAACAAATCTTGTCTGACTAAATTCTTATTTTAATTTCTGCAGACATACACAAACATGTACACAATATAAGCGGACAATGACGCTTTCACTATATGGTCATGATACCTATACACCTGTAAGTACAATTTAATAATAATTAATTTATTGATGTACACCAGGGAAGTAGAAGAATGATCACAGTAGAATGATTAAGAGAATAATTCCAACTGCAATTACAGTGAAAGGAACCCATGTCTTCAGGAATGCTCCCAAACTGAAAGTCAAAATCAACAACAATAATCTTAGAATTTTATAGTAAAAGGTACACAATGATGTACTTCATTATTAGTATTAATGAACAATTGATTTGATTTCTAGCTGTTTGGTGATCAAGTACATTGTTTGTGGTCTTCGAAAAAAACATGGGGTTGATCACAGGCATGTGCTACATGCAGCTATTTTTTATCACTGCCAGTGGACCTGACGTGATAAGTGAAATACCTGGTGAATTTTCCATAAATCAACATGAAGAAACACAGCTTGACCATATTCCAGGATGATGACCTGTTGTACTGCATCAAATTCAGAGCCATGGCTACATGGGAGTGGCAGTTATCACAGCAGAGGTTGTGCTGTACAGAGCAAAAGGCATAATAAATAGGCAGCAATAAACAAACTCTCAGAAATTTGAGACCATATACACACTGTATCATCATTGCAATGATAAAGATAATCAGATCATGTTAATGATGATAATTATATTGTTGTTGATGATGATGATGATGATGATGATGATGATGATGATGATGATGATGATGATCTGATGATGATCTGATGATGATGATGATGATGTTGATATTGATAGATGATAATGATGATGATTATGATGATGATACCTACAACATGTATGTCTCTCTTAAATTTAAGTATAAATTATTTAACAACTAACTTTACCATTCTGTGTTTGTATTCCTCAGAAGCAGATGAGATTGCTATGTCCCAGCTGTTTTGCATACTTGACACTTTTGCTGGATTTAAACGCCAGAACCTGTATACCAGGTAATTGCATCAAACATTATTGTTTCATCACCTTAATTTTACTTTATAATTGTTATGTTCATTGTCAGCTGTTTTGTAAACTTCACACGTTTGCTGGACTAAAAACAAGCCACGGTTATATAGCTTGTTTGCCTCAAGAACAGTCACTTGCTTCCATCGTGACTTGTCTGTTTCAAGGTCACATGATATAACAATATTATTTAAAATACAGCTGTAACCTCTGTTGGCGATAATAAAAATTGATGAATTATATTCTTGCTTCTTTTATCAACTAACTGCTGACAGCAAACTCAGGTTTGCTTTCTACTGTTAAAATAGTGAATAGTGAAGATAATTCAGAATAACTAATGCACAAAAGAAGGGTTGTCTTACTTTGTAGGTTTTCCAAAGGCCATGTCATCTTCCTACAGAGGAGGAAATGGAGAATCATATTCATCAATTTATGTATTGTTAGTGTTCCTCATTTTAGTTTTTCATTTTTTGGCCTGAATTGAATAACAGAGTTCCTATGTCATTCTTTAATTTACTGGGAGGGGGAGTTTGCAGGGTCTTGAATTCCTCATTTGATCACTTCCTATCTAGTTTCCATTTGTTAAATCTGACTTTGGTCCTTTCTTTTTCTTAAGTCCTACATGTATGGCGAGGTTATGATTACAACTTGCACGTCATTAGATCAAAATCAGTTTTGGGAGAGGCACAGTTCTTCTGGCAAATGTTAAACTGGGAGCAAAGATACATTTCTATAAATTCCCATGCTTCACTAACATTTTTCAATATTTATTAGAGCTATGCATGGAAAATGGTCAATTCACATAGTAAACAAAATAATGCAATGTAGACTGAAAAAATGATAAACAGTCAACTCCCGTTAACTTGAACCTTCTAGACAAGGGATAGGTTATCAGGAATTCCAAACAAATAAGCAAAAAGATGAGGAGGGAATGGAAGTATCATGCACACTTCACAGGGATGGACACTGAATTTGAACTGGAGTGACAAAAAAAAGTGATAACAAAGAATTGACATGGTTGTCTTAAAATAAACTCAGTACTTCGTACTTCTGTACAGTGATACACCGTTTTTTTTTTCTGACTTGTCATGCACTTAAAACATTGTTCGAGTTATCGAGGGTAGAATAGAAATAACAAAAAGGGAAACAAAAATTTTTTTTTGAGCTAGCGGAATGTTCAAGTTATCAAGGGTTGAGTTATATAAAATTAATATATATTCTTTCAAACTTCCTTATTGATGTTTGTACATTTTTAAACTATGCAACAAAATAATCAATTAAAAAAGAAAGGTCACGCCCTGTGTGTTCTTGTTCATTGTTCATGCATTACCTATACTAGAGTGCAACCCACAACAACAACAACAACAAAAGTTGTAACCCTTCTCTTTGCTCTCAAAGATGCAGCTTTACTAGTACCACTCTTTGACTCAAAGGTCCATCTATCACATTCAGCAATCTTGCCACTTCAATCTTAAGGTTTATGACTTGAACAAGTGGTGAGTATTGGACATGAATGTTAAATTCATAAAAGCAGACAGAAGAAATGCACACAAGCTACAAGTTGCTTGACTCGATGATAAACAAGATGGCTGACGAAGACGATTGCTTATCCTTGTGCTCACGTCGACCCCGTTCTCACTGGTCAAAGCTACCACATAAGCATACGCATAAGCACAAGAAGAACGAACATGTCCGTTCTTCTTGTGCTTATGCTTATGTCGCCGGTGTTCTCACTTGCTTACACATGTGGCTTGTGCTTGTGCTTATGCTTACGTTTACGCCGCCCGTTTATGCGCTAGTGAAAACCAGGCTTAAGCTGATATACATGTCATGATTGGATGAAGGTACGGTGGGATCGAGGATCCTTACCGAAACATAGAAAGGACCAGCGAAGTCTCTGATCACTCCTGAGGACATTGCAATTCCCATATGACCAATAAAAGGAAAAAGCCATCTACAAACAAGATTAACACACAGCGTGTTGGTCATGGCAAGGATATCATTTCGACTGAAAAATTTCAATCCGAGTGAGAGCGTTATAACTACTACTCACGTCAATACAGGAATTGGTGTCCACACAATGCAATAAGGATATCGGCTCCTCAGCACATCAATTCTTGGGTAGCTATCCTCATGATCCATGGTATTTTCTTCAAGTTTATCGTCCATCGCGAGAAAACATAGCGAGAATCTTTTTAATGCACAACTACATCACCTGCGCCATTTTGCCTTTTTACTGAATTGATAGCTATCATGACGTATGAAACGAAATTTGGTGCAACCGCTAGAACGAATTTGGGGCCGATTGCTGGCTCCTTAGTTACATTTTCGCTTTCTACTGTTTGGGATATTACAGTAAAGTTAATGGAAAATGATTTGTTTCAAATGTAACGTTTTGAAAGAAGATGCCCGTGTGTCCAGGACAGAGATAGAAATGCAGAAAGAAGGAATATGCTCGCTGATTGCAGGTAACTCTTACCATCCTTTGCCGTGTGCACCTGGTCAAACCTATAGCTATGGGCGCTTGTTATTTTTTCGTATTTTGTGTAAACTGCATTTGAAGCTTCTGGTTTTCGAATGTTTCATATCGAATGATCAGATATTCTAAAGAAAATTTAACCGTACCAGGAAGTTAATATTCATTTTAATAAACCTCTCGGGTCTTGACCAATTTAACGTCTTGAAAACATTGTGTCATGATACACTGTACAATGACTGTTTCCTGACAGCTAGTGTAGGGTTTAACGTCATCACGATCAAATCTAAATATTCCTCTAAGATGTGAATGGAATTAGTTATCCATCAGAAATTGAGCAAATTTTACTGCCTGTTAGCCAGCAGTTACCACTATCACACCTATTTCCCTCTGACCTTAATTACAGAAGGGAGGTCACGGTCGCGTAGGGTGAATAGCAGAGATAGGCAACTTTGGCTACCCATTCAAAACAATAGGCTGATTTAGCAACAGAACGGTAATGTCAGTTGATGACCGCGCATGCAAATCAAAGAACTGGCTTGACCAATGGCAGAGCGGCTAATTGGGCACTGGAAGTCGCGTTTAGTCCTTTCCGCGCGCTTTCCCGTTGTCAACTGACGTTCCCATTTTGTTTCTAAATCAGCCTGATATTTTAGCAATGCAACCCTCACCGGTACAAGATCTCATCCCATAGAGGACTGGGTTGAAATTTACTCCATTCTTAAGGAGATTGGGGACATTGTGATGCTCCTGCGAAAAACTGTCTGGCGACTAACTTACATCCTCCTTGTTTATCACTGTTGGTAGACTGTCAGTAGAGTGTTGGTAGACTATTGTCCAATACACTTCTAGAGTAGCTGTTATTCACTTTTACCAGAGATTTAGTAAGTGTCTTAGCTTCCATGTATGAGGCAATGTTACAGTCAAACCAGGTCAAGCGTTCCCGTCGCTAACGAACTAACAAATTCATTAACGGAAAAATGATTTCGTTTGTTGATTCAATAATCCATTTATAAAATGAACAATCCAATATTCATATTTAGCCTCGATTCCATATTCCAATGTTGATCTGATTACTGTTTTTTGAAAAACTACACTTTCCACAAGTCAACCTCAGAATTTTGTTTTTTCTTCTTTTTTCTAAGAGTCCAGTGTGGGCGAGTTCTGAAGTTCAAACCCAAACAAACTGTTACATGTACGCCATTTTGCTTCCAGTAATCAGTGCAACGGACCTGACCCCGAGGATGCTAACCTCTTAGAAAACACGACAGTCAAACTGAGATCAGTTTATGTGCGGTGATTGGTGGATTTCGATCCCCGGCCTTTGTCAGTTTCTTTGCGTTTGTGGTCTATCTATTCAAGCTGTTATTTTGATTAAAGGCAATTAAAAACGCAATCGTTAACGGCAGGAAAAGGGAACGAATACGATTGAACACAACAGACAAGAATAAAGAAGAGGTAGATTTTGTTCATAACCTAAATCAACATTTAATTATTGAATCAAGGTCCAATTTGACCGTTTGATTATTCATTTTATGAATGGATTATTGAATCAACAAACGAAATCATTTTACCATTAATGAATTCATTAGTTTGCTAATGACGGGAACGCTTGACCTGGTTTGACTGTAAAACCTGCCCTCCCCAGTTTCACATTACATTTTTCTCTGTATCTGTCCTGCCCTCCCATCTCTAACATTTTATCGGCCACCCTCCTCTGAACTTTGCAAGGTTCTGCAAAACAAGTATTTCTAGTTGTGATGGTATTTTATAGCTATTTTTGGGGGTGTGCATTTGTACTTTTGTAGAAATCAAATTGAAAGAATTTTAGTGATGGAAGACCAGTCATTTGAGCGATTTGTTCCTGAGCATCCCCTCCCCCAGGAAATTCAAAACATGAAGAAAGATGACACTGTTTGTCAGTTTTGCGGTGTAAGCTATCTCATTCATAATGAAATGAAGGCTTTGGAGGAACGAGTTAAGGAAGCTGAGAAGCAAATGGAATATTACAAAGGAAGTGTTGAGAGAGAAGAGAAACTCAAGATTAAAGTTGCTAGCATGGAGGAGGAAAGTGACAAATTGTCAAGGGCATTACAAGCCAGTGAAGAAAGGTAACAGGGAATGGGTGCACAGGGTACCCAGGCACACAGGGTTTCCAGACACATCTGAGATCCCTGCTGGCAGAGGTGTCTCACTGAGAGAGTGGAATGATGGGAAAGAAAGAGACCTCTGTCAGCCTCCGATGCATTCTTTCATTTAGCCACTGTCCATATTTGTTTTCGAAACAGACTAGGTTTCAAAACCAGTTTTCTTTAATACGGAATGCACATGCCCTGTTGAGACTTTTAAAGGCCGTTGTACATTTGTATTATTTGATGAGAAAGCATACGGTCATGTAGTTAGCGGAAAATACCCTTGCTTAAGGGTGCTGCACTTGTTATTTGGGTGTCCTGCATTGAGCTCCTGCTACCTGTAACTGACTGACCACAATTGCAAAAAAATTATATTTCTGTAAGCCCAGTTATATCCCTAGATCTGTTGGAAACTTTCCTATAAAAATGATGATTTAAAATTTATGAATGGGTGCCTCTAATAAATTTTAGATCCTGGGTTCAGATCCTGCTTTGGCCACAAGTAAGCTGAAATTTTATCTCCATAACAAGTTTCAATTCAAACAGTTCGTAGAAATTAAATTAATTTTCTCTATTAATTTTTATTGGCATTAACCACAGTAGAAAGGAGAAAGAAACTGGAGCCAACAAAATGAGTCCTGGACTTGTTTCTGGGATCATCACGGGGGACATTCTGGGCTTCTGATAAATTATTTCCCGTGGTCGCGGAGCTGCAGATTTCTGGGTACCCATGAAATCCTGCGAAATTCACAAAAACACACAAAATACCATGAAATTTGCTAAAGGTCTTATCAAATACATATTGATACAACATATTTGAAACTCATCTTGGTTATCGGGGCTGTAAACTTGCAAATTTATCTTGAAATGTCATCACCACAATTAGCAAACATTATATTACAATAATTCCGAAACTACCATGGGTAAATTAATCTGGCTAAATGCTCAGGCTCCCGTCCTTTGTAGTTAACATAGCGAATGATTATCTCTGTTACAAAAAACGTTAAACAAGCTAATAAATATTAATATAAATAATTTATTTCTATAGCGCATTTTCCTAATGCCCAAATACGCTTTACAGTGTCAAATATATTATAATCTATACACCAAAAAATGTAAAAAAAAAATCTTACGAATCGAAAAAATCAAGAGTCTAAAAGTCCTAAAAATCAAAAAAAAAAAAAAAAATTGAAAGTCTTAAAAATATGCTTGTCGAAAAAGATAGGTCTTAAGCTTAGCTTTAAAGATAGAGACAGATGCGCTGCTTTTAATCTCAAATGGAAGCGAGCTCCAAAGGTAAGGCGCGCACACTGAGAAAGCCCTCAAGCCAATCAATTTGAGCTTGTGCGTTTGCTGCTCCAGTAGAAGTTGGTCAGCAGACCTAAGAGCCCGCCTAGGAATATAAGGACTGATGAGCTCAGTCAGGTACGTTCGAGTCGCGCCATGGAGTGCCTTAAAGTGTACATTAAGATCTTAAAAAAAATACGCTGACAGATGGGGAGCCAGTGTAGCTAAATAAGTAGTGGTGTGACATGATCAAACTTTCGATTGTGAGTGATCACTTTGGCCGCCGCGTTCATAACATATTGTAGTCTCTGAATAAGATAATCAGGTAGGCCATAGAGAAGCGAATTACAATGATCTACGCAAGACGTTTCTAATGCATGCACTACTGTTTTGGTTGAGTCAATACTAAGGCATGGACGTATGCGACTGTTTCTGATGTGATAAAAAGCAGTCCTGCATAGCTCATCGATGTGATCCTCGAAACTCATGGTATCGTCGAAGATGGCACCAATGTTCCGTGTGCTAGATGTGGGCTCCACAGTAGCATCACCGACAGTAATTAATCGAATCTATTGGTGGCTTTTATAGGGCGATGTTTAGCGTGCAGAACCAAGAGTTCAGTCTTATCATTGTTTAACCGGAGATTGTTCAAAAGCATCCGTTGGTTCAGCTCACACAAACAAACTTCAACCCTAGTGTGCGCAGACACAATGTCCTCCACTTTAGTGGTCTTCATGCTAAGGTACAGTTGAGTGTCATCCGCGTACATGTGAAACTAATTAATCAAATCAGCGCAAAATTGATCAATTTATAGCGAAATTGGCCCAGAAAATTCCCACAAAATTAACCGTTTGTTATCGATTGTTTTTTGGCGAAGTTAGCGCTGAAAATTTCCTGGACAGGAAATCCATCGGGTCTTCCGCAAATCTGTGTCAGAAAATTCCGCGAAATTTGATTTTTTCTTCGTGACCTATCAGAAGCCCTGTCTGTTGGTCAAAATTTTCCCTGTCCCTCGTAACAGTCTCAGAGGTCTTTGTGAAAGTGAACTTATCCCAGTTTTCTTCTCCTAAAGTGGCAAATGTACATTTTTTTTCTAAGATCCCATTTAATTATTTTATTGTGCATTATTAAAGCTTTTAATACATGTATAAAGAATGAGGTTTTGCCACCTGAAATTATATTATCTGGCTTACATTTTTTTGTATTCTCAGAACAAAGATATTAGCAGTAGATCTAACTTCAAAGCAAGAACAGATTAAACATCTTGAACAACA